TATTACAAATAACTTCATTTCTGGACATTTATGGTTTGATTTCTTTGTATGTATGGATCACTTGGGTTGTTACCAACATCTGGTGAAAATTTCACCAGATGTAAGCTGAGGTGGTGCAGGCATCTGATTAGGATGCCCCCCACGGACATCTGCCTCTGGACCAGGGGTGTCACTAGGTCTTAAGGACAAGGGGGGCTTAGCCCCCAGGAGACGTACAGATTTTTTTCATATTATATATTCTGGACCTTTACCATGCACGTCCCACTGAGATGACACTCTCCCAGGAGGAGCTGGAGAGTAGAAACAGATGAATGGAGGTGTTACAGTTTGCACAATTTGAAACAAATGCAGATTAACATAAATGTGCCCAAGTAAATTTTGCTAAACATGAAAAAAAAAAACACCATGGCATTAGCATTAACATACATGACACAGATGAACCAGACTGGGCATGAAAACTGAGAGACTAAATGGACTGTGACTAATGAGAAGACTGAAAATATAACAGAGAGAACAGGGGTAAATTTGTGGGCCATAACCACGGAGAGAAGCTGTTTATGGAAAAATACCGAGTGGCTGAAAAACACTGAGGTGGAGAAAATAAACTGAAATTAAAAAAATATAGAAACCAACTGAGAGATGAACAGGAAAATTAAACTAACAGAGAACTAAATTTTGAAACACATGACTAGACAGACGACCGGATGGATGGATGGATAAATAAATGGATGGATGGATGGATGGATGGATAAATAAATAAATAAATAAATAAATAAATAAATAAATAAATAAATAAATAAATGGATGGATGGATGGATGGATGGATGGACAGACAGATGGATTCAATTCAATTCAGTTCATTTATATAGCGCCAAGTCACAACATACGTTGTCTCAGGGCACTGTACATCAAAAAAAAGAACTATGTAAAGAAAAAACCAGCAGATTGTGTTGAATCACTTCATCACAGTCTCCCATCCTGAGCAAACGGTGGAGAGGAAAAACTCCCTGCTAATCAGGAAGAAACCTCCAGCAGAACCAGGCTCAGGACAGGAGACCATCTGCCTCGACTGGCTGGTTGAGGGACAGGAAAGAGATACAGACAAACACAGAAGAACTGGTCCAGGACTGGTCCAGGTGCACCTTCTTCTGGAAGACAAAGAAAAAACATGATAGAAATAATAACAATAAACATGTAGAGAAGAGAGACTAAAGACAACAGCAGAGTGAAGAAATGTGCTCAGTTTGTGCTCCAGCAGTCTAAGTCTATAGCAGCAGAGATGAAGAATAATTCAAGAAACTCAAGTCTAACTATAGGATTTATCAAAAAGAAAAGCCTTCAATCTAATCTTAAAAGTAGACAGAGTGTCAGTCTCACAGACAGAAACTGGAAGTTGGTTCCACAAGAGAGGAGCTTGATAACTGAAAGCTCTGCCTCCCATTCTACTTTTAGAAACTCGAGGAACCATAAGCTATAAGTGCTCTGTTAGGAAAATATGGAACAATAAGATGTTTAATATATGATGGAGCTTGGTTGTTAAGAGCTTTATATGTTAGGAGAAATATTTTTAATAATATTCTGAATCTGACAGGGAGCCAGTGGAGAGAAGCTAAAACTGGAGAAATAATCTCTCCTTCCAACTCTCATTAAAACTCTAGCAGCAGCATTTTGGATTAAATGAAGACTTCTTAAAGGGTTTTTTGGTTGTTCAGATAATAAAGAATTACAGTAATCCAGTCTAGACGTGATAAATGCATGAATCAGTTTTTCTGCATCATTTTTGGACAAAATGATGGACGGACAGACAGATGGATGGATGTGTTATTAAGTAAATCCAGTCTAAGTTGTAACCAAATTTAGTTTTTATTTGTCCAGTTTTGTTTGTTTAATCCTTTTAGCAGATTATGTTTTTCAAACTGTTTCTTCAAACAACCATTTGGTATTTTTGATGTTGTTTTAGGTCACAGTTTGTATGATCCCAGAATGCACAAGGAGACAATGTTTCTGTTTACTCATTGAGAAAAGGTGCAGATGAGGTATTAATAGTTGTTTTATCATCCTAACACACACACACACATCCCAACACACACACACACACACACACCTTAACACACACACACACACATCCTAACACACACACACACACATCCTAACACACACACACAGCCTAACACACACACACACACGCACACATCCCAACACATGGACACACACAGCCACACATGTGTGTAAGGATGCAGTGGTTCGCTGCAGCAGGGAGAAAACAGGACCCCCGGGTATGAGAAGAGGAGGACAGTTAGAGCGTAAATAAGTGGAAGACGTCAGTGTTAGCTGAATCGGACCTGACATGGTGGAGTCTCGGAGCTTGGAGCGCATGAGCTGCAGTCCAGGATTAGATTTTCTTCAGAAGGTTTCAGAAATTGTTAACTTCTTGCCTAATGTGAGTTAACAGCACACATTCCTTTTGTTAGGACCAAGCCTTAAAATAGAGCAGTTAGTTTACTAACATATTGTATTCATGTGGCCACCGGACCGCATGCTTGATGTTGCTGGACCGAACTATGGCCATCTCAAACCATAGACTTCAGGTTTTACATCCCAAAGTGTCTCTCTTTGTGATTTAGAACACTTTAAAGTCTAAATATGGTGTGAAGAATTAACAAAAAGTGACTGGTTCAGTGAGATAAGAAAACTTAAAGTGAAACCCTCCTTTATGACAGAACCAAATATATTGTTCAACATTTACAGATACTTCTTGGAGGAATGCACATCACCCTCCATAGTATTAAACTAAGCTTGTCTCATGATTACGAATGACTGATATGAAGTTTTTTTGATCAAACCTTGACGTTATGTGTGATGATCCGTTGATACTTAAAGTCCAGTTTGAACATAACTAATTTAACTAAAAACAAATTTATAACATCGTTGTGTTTGCTGACGCATATTAGCTGTGGTTATAGATGATTCATTTTTGAGTATCAGGGGGACGGGGTGTGAAGTCCCCCATTTGGATTTAAAGAGACAGCCTCAAAACGAGTTGATCTGAGACACAGCTCAGAAAATGGGTGAGGCTTGTGGAGTTACAATAAGGAGGAAATCAGACCAAAGCTTTGCAGTTTCAATATAGACCCCATGAAGAATTTAAAAGCATCAAATGTCTCCTTTAATAATCAGACACATAACTACTGAAGTGTAAAAAAGAAAAAAAATTGTATAGGTCTTCTGGACGGGTTCTTCTCTAATGAAACGTTTCGTCTCTCCTCCGAGAGACTTCTTCAGTCTGAGAGTTTCAGGCAAAATTCAGGCTTTTGAGC